GCTGGCTTTACGCGCTGTAATTGACACGTCTGTTGGAGGTTGCTGAACTTTCTGCATTGTACTTAAGATTGTCTTTTTTCTTCCGGCTTGCTTTCAGTTTGGAAAACATTTATAAAGAGCTGTCTACGGACATAGATGGTTTTGTTCATCCTGGCCATGGAGATTTATCTGGGTGGGCCAAGCAAGGTAAACCAACCGCTGTTATGCATGGCTAAAATGACTAAACTTACATATTTCAGAAAATGAATCTGTTTTACCCTGCAGCCAATGTTTTCTTTCATGTTTTTTTCCCCTTCTTTCATGTTTTAATCATAATTTTAAAACTGTGTTTCCCTTTATTATTATTTTGTCCTCTCTTTTGTCATTTCAACATAGGTGGTGTTGTATGTATTTAATACCTATGGGGTTTTGTTTATTTATTTTTTAACTAAATTTTTCCTTTTCTCAGATTTTTTATTGATTTTGAGAGAGAGGAAGGGAGAGGGAGAAACATTGATGTGAGAGTGCAGCAACAGTCAGCTGCCTCCTGCATGCCTCCTATCGTGGATCAAGCCTGCAACCTAGGCATAGGCCGGAACTGGCAACCTTTCAGTGCACGGGACGATGCCCAACCAACTGAGCCACACCAACCAGGGCTTTTTTTTTTTAACAAATAGATTATAACCAGGATAAGGAAAGAGTATTTGCCCTTTGGTTTCTTGCCATTAGATTCCTCCCCTCCCCCAGTAAAACACTTTGGCCTCCTTTTGTTATTTTCTGGGGTTATTTAATATCATTTACGATATTGTTTTAAAACAGTTCTTTCTGATGACCGATGGTATGGATGTCCCAAAATTCACGCAAGAAGTAATTTTGATAGAAAACACAGGTGTATAATTAAAAATTGCAAAATTTTTATTGATTCATAAAGTATACAGTATAGGGTTATGTATGGAATAGCACATCGGGTAAATGGCCTCCACGGCTTTGCTTGCACATACGCAAAGCCGTGGTCTTCATTGGTCTTCAATGTCCCTGCTCCTGGGCCATAATTGGTACTTGGTAATGCTTATCAAATTGAAGGGATTGAAATCAAAGGACAACAGATATTAGAATCTGATTCAATAAACCAAGTAAAATGAGGCTTTTATTTTTTGTTGTTGTTGTTAATGCTCATGCAAAATTAAAATCTTGCGTGAATTTTGGGACACCCTTTATTTGTGCCTATTACTGTTGCAAACTTGGAAAGGTGTTGAAAGCGCAGAGGTGCAAGTTCAATGCCCTCTGGTAGCACTAAGAAGTGCCCAGCATTCTGTTGAAATGCTTTCTCTATGACCGACTTTCAGCCGTCCTCTCTGGATCCCATCCTGAGAACGCTTTCCGCACGCAGTTAGTTAGCCCTGACCTTGGGTGACCCGTGGCAGCCTGCCTTTCACCTCTTTCTCTGGTGTATGTTCGTAGGTGTTCTCCTGCTCAACGCTGTCCTCACGGTCCGGGCGCATCAGGCCAATTCTCACAAGGAGAGAGGCTGGGAGCAATTCACCGATGCGGTTGTGTCCTGGCTAAATCAGAACTCGAGTGGCCTCGTTTTCTTGCTCTGGGGCTCTTACGCTCAGAAGAAGGGCAGTGCCATCGATAGGGTATGTGGTTTTTAGCAGCTTAAACCAGCGAGACTCGAGAAATCCTCGCAGTGTGGTCCTGGAAAATCCACGCCATAAAATGAAGCTTATTTTCCCCGAAGGCTGGCAATTAGGGTTGAAAATTGGACAAAGTTTAGACAAATGACAGTAATGATCAGTGATGTAGGAGGAAAGTGTCTGGCCAACCTATGATTCAATAGTTACTAATACAGGCATAAACCTGCCATATACTCAGAAAGGTACACAGGTCCCAGCTACCATTCATTTAACAGATAATACAGTAAGTCAGCAATGTTCAACCCGTGTGTCGCAAGCATTTTTAAGACATGGCAATACCTGACTATTTAGTCAGGGGGCACTGACCTTTTTTTCTTAGGTGGTCAAATTAAAAAAATGACAACAGCCAACACAAAAATAGCCGTCTGGTGTGAATGAATCAAAATTGTACCTTTTATTTTATTTTGTCAGATCAGAAAATACGTATTTTGGTACTTAATGTTTGCCCTTAGATGAGAAAGGTTGAAAATTGCTGATCTACCCAGTTGTCCAGCCAGAAATCAAATCAGATATCATTCATAACACCTCCTTACCTCTCTTCCTCTCCCTCCCCCAACCCCCTATCCAGTCTGTTATTCAGAGCCTAAGTTCTCTCTTACCTCTCAAACCCATCCGTGCCCCCCCCCCCCAATACCTTTGCCTTGGTTTAGGCCCCTCTGGTCTTGCCTGGAGCATTCAGATGCCTTCTCCCTGAAGGCCTTGACTTAGGCTGATAAGCTGGGGCCTTGGGCGTGGCCCTGGTCTCAGCCACAGCTTTCTTCACTCTCAGCTCCAGGCCGCTCGGAGGCACCTCTCAGGTTTGCTCCCTGTGCCCCACTTCCCCGCTTGCCTTTGAACGCCCTGGATCCTTTGTCCTGAGTGGAGAGGTCTCTTCCCCAGAGGCTAAGTCATCCTTCAAAGCTCAGCACAGCTCACATTTCTAGGGTGCCAGGCAGGGTGCTAAGAAGCACTTGACCTCAATTACTTCTCATAATATTCTCTGCACATGATCATTCATTCTTTTGCAGTAACTAGAAGCTAGACACTGTTGATATTCCCAATTCACAGACTGGTCCTCGCAACCTCAGAGCCTAGCAAAGGCAGTTGCTCCACAAAAGAACGAGTGCATTGAAGTCCTAATATGAACGCTGAGGGCAAATAAATACACTTAGCAAAGTGGGGGGATTTAGAGAGCGCAAAGGGTGTGGCACATTGTCTTCAAGTGCAACAGCCATAAAGGCCCAGCCGTGCCAACTCTTGGTCATTCTTTTCTCTTTTTCAGAAGCGCCACCACGTGCTGCAGACCGCCCATCCCTCCCCATTGTCAGTCTACAGAGGATTCTTTGGGTGCAGACATTTCTCTAAAACCAACGAGCTGCTGCGAAAGTCTGGCAAGGAGCCCATCAACTGGAAGGATCTGTGACCCTGAACTGGGGGAGGGAACGGGGGATGAGGGAGGGGTCCTCCGGGCAGTTTCTAGAAGCTGCTGTTGAAGTATTTGCCAGTGACGAAGTCGAATTGAGAAAATAACTTCCCTAGTGATCCTTAAGCACGATGCACACCAGGGAGAACGTTTCCGTAAAGGGGCCCTGTGCCAGGCTGCCCAGGAGTGGCAGCGTTACCCAGCAGAGACTGTACCCGGTGGCCACGGGTCTGTCTCAGGACCTTGGCTTTGGCTTAGAAGACGCGTCAAAGTTTTGGGAAAGGAGAGGAGGTCAAATTCTCTAGACTCTCCTCCCCTCTGTTTCCTTTATGGTTGAAGATGGGGAGATAAGCACCTTTTTAGTATCTCAGTTAGCTGCTGCTCGCTTTTACCTGTAGGCTAAACGTTAGGTTATAAGGTGTCGGGTGTTTTTATATAGAAAGGCCCCCTTTGCACATGGGCCAGGCCACTGCCCTTTGATCCTTTACAGAGCCCTCAGGCCCCTCCTGGAAGGAAATGGGGTTTTTATTTTTTTTTATTTTTGCCAGTTCCCAGAAATTAGGGGTCAGTTTCCTGATTGAAGCAGAGGAGAGAATTCCTAAGGGACACTTCCTGCTGTGAGCCTTCGGACTGGCAGAGGCCAGGAGAAGTGGGCCGGGCCTAGTTTATATTGTTCTCTAGGTGTTTCTAGGAATAAGCAGTGGAAGTTGAACAGGAAGGAGAAAGGGGTTTGGTTTGGTTTTGTGTTTTTTTAAGAAGGGAAATGGTTTTCTCCCGTGTGAACTGGGAGAAAAGGCAGCATAGTGCCAAATGCTGTTTTTTCTGGACTGAAATCACGTTGGGATACCATTTTCTGCAACACTGGAGAATTTCGCTCTTTTAAAAAATACTTAAATGCCCGTTAAATGCCCGGCCGATGTGGCTCAGGGGTCGAGGGTCGACCTATGAACCAGGTCGTCACAGTTCGATTTCTATGTGGATGTTTTGTATTTTTTTTTTACTCCTTTGTTTAAGAGACCATCTTTATTAGGGCTGAGCCTCCATCCAAGGTCCTGTTAGAGATGCTGTTAGCTGGGCTCAAAGTTAAACCTGCTTAGAGTTTGGTAATAAAAGGTTGCTGAAGTTTCACTTTGTGCCGCGCGCTTAATGCTGCTTACCCCTCACCAGTCAGCTCCTGGGCCCAGCCATCCGCGGACGCCCTTGGGCTGCCCTTGGACTGTGGTTGCCATGGCAACTGCGGTGGACAGGAAGGGCCGCCTCCATGCCGCCCTCTCTCCTTCCTCCGCCCCTGCCCCTCCCCCCTCTGTCCGCCCTGATGGAGCCGCCCACCCGTCTGCCGGGCTTTGGTAAGCGTTGGGCGGGGTTCCAGGGAGGGGTGACGGCAGGACTGTGGCCAGGGGTCTCCGAGTCCAGTCGGGCCCTACTCCAGCGCTGTGGGGAGGCTGGGTGTGGTCAGGGTCCGCTGGGACCCCTCAAGGGGCCATTTCAGCTGGAAAACATTTCTGCGGAGATCTTGGCATGCCTGTCGGGGCTGTGTCCTGCCAAACCTTGGGAAACAGCGCGGGGAGCTTCCCCGGCGTCCCTCCGCTAGTGTTTGCAAACTTTCCAGGAAATCTGACGTTGAGGTGTGAGGCCAGAACGCTGGGGAAACACGGCCATAGCCCACTGACCTGCCCGCAGAGCTGGAGAGGCGGGTGGCCCATCAAGATGAGAGGCTGGCCCCGGCCGGTTCGGTTCAGGGGATAGAGCGGGGGCCTGTGGACCAAAGGGGTTGATTCCGGTCAAGGGCACCACCTTGGTGGCAGGCTCCTCCCCCGCCGGGGCCCTGCTGGGGGTGGGTGCCAGAGGCAGCCAATCCATGTGCTTCTCTCACATGGATGTTTCTCACATGGATGTTTCTCTCTGCCTTTTCCTCTCTAAAAATCAATGGAAAAATTTCCTCGGGTGAGGATTAACAAACAAGAAAACCGATGAGAGTCTGGGTGGACATCCCTGGTGTCAGATGACAGAGGCAGTAACGGGTCAGGGGGGCTTGGTCACAGGTTCCCTGTATTTAAGAGCTTTGGAAAGGATGTAGTATTTAAGAGCTTTGGAAAGGATGTATCCAGCGAGGGCACCTAGACCAGCATGGACACTTCTTAGGAAAGCAGGGAGTTGGTAAGCTTTCGCTGGAGACTTTCTCTTTCCCACCACGTCTTAGTTTTCTTATGTTTGAAGAGAAGGGCTTGCGATCCCACTTTCCGCCATCAGCAAGCAGGCCCTCACCGAAGGAAGACCCAGAACAAAGATGCATTCTTCATCTGCCCTCTGGTGACCCGGAGTCCTCTCAGCATTACAATGGGTCCCCCTAGCCTAGGGAGAAATGAGGGGGAAATATTTCTGCAGCGCTGTGAGAAGGGAGGAAGCAGGAAGCCCGCTCGGAGTTACCATAAAGGATTCAAAAAGCAAACTACTTTTTTAAAAAAATATAGTGAATCTTCGAAGTATAGTAATGCTTTAAACAGAATACAGAGCAGCCTCTTAGTGGTCTATTACTCCCCCCCCCCCAAAAAAAAATACAAATTTAATCACTGATCTTTTACGCACAAGGCTGATTGTGATGAACTTTTGGCCGAGTGGTGGTGAAGTTTTTTTCACGTGTTTTCAGATTTGTTGCAATTATAGCAGGGGGTATGCCACAATGAAAGGCAATCTTGGCCTTTTCGGTCAGAGGCCTGCGTGCTTTTTCTGTAAAGGGTCAGATAGTAAATATTTAAGCTTTATGGCCATCCTATCTCCAACCTACTCTGCTATAGAGAAAGCCGCCACGTGCAAACTGTAAGCAAACAGGTGTGGCCATGTCCCAATAAATGTTTATGGACACCGAAATTGGGGTTTGATAGGATTTGCATGTGTCATGAAATCTTTTTTATTTTTTTCAAGCATTTTACAAATGTGAAAACCACTCTTAGTTCCGGAGCTACAGGAAAACAGACGGCACGGGCCATAGTTTGCAGCCCCCTGTTCTAGGGGGTCCTACTCAGACGCCAGCAAGGGCAGACCCAACTGCTGTGTCTTCCCGCTGTCGGGGCGGTTCTGTGTGGCTCACACGGGAGAACCTGCCCAACAACGATTCCTGCCTCCCCCTCTCAGGCAAGGAGCAGAGGATCTGCGGAGGGCTTTTGGAAACACAAGGAAGTCAGTTATGCATAACGTCCTGGGAACCCCAAGTTATAAAACCACATCAAAGTCACTTATCTGTGATTGGAGTCCAGTGGGGCAAGGTAGGGGCGTGTGAATTGTTTTATTCATAGGCTTCAGCGTGTTGTTAATACGTGTCCATTATTAAAGAAGATCATACATTTAAAAAAATATTTTTATTGATTTCGGAGAGGGAGGGAGAGAGATAGAAACATCAATGATGAGAATCACTGATCAGCTGTCTCCTGCACACCCTCAACTGGGGATCGAGCCCAGTCTATAGGCCGACGCCCTATCCACTGAGCCAAGCCGGCCAGGGCTAAGATCATACATTTTTTTCCCTTTTGAAATTCACTTTCCTGCTGCGGTTTGCTCCTGGCATTAAAAAGTCTTAGAAAGGGTTTTGGATCGGAAAAGTGAACTTTTGGTGTGTCTGTGTGTGTCAGTGGCTTTTTATCCCATGTCAAACCTTGGAGATGTATACGAGGTATAGGCTCTGGGCTGCCTTGGAGGGTCCTGGGGTGTTGACTGGTGGTGACTCCAGCTGAGAAAAGACTGGAACAAACCTGCTGGAGAGGCCTCTTTTCCTATTTAGGGTCCTGACACTTTAAAAAATATATGTTTTTATTGATTTCAGAGAGGAAGGGAGAGGGAGAAAGAGGGAGAAACATCAATGATGTGAGAGAATCATCGATTGGCTGTCTGCCTCCTGCGCACCCCACACTGGGGATCGAGCCTGAAACCCGGGCATGTGCCCTGACCGGGAATCGAGCCGTGACCTCCTGGTTCATAGATCGAGTCTCAACCACTGAGCCACGCCGGCTGGGCAGGTCCTGACACTTTTAATCTGCGTCTCACAGCCTAAAGTCACCTGTTGATTCTCTCAGGTGACATTTTATTTAAAAATATATTTTATTGATTTTTTACAGAGAGGAAGGGAGAGGGATAGAGAGTTAGAAACATCAATGAGAGAGAAACATCGATCAGCTGCCTCCTGCACACTCCCAACTGGGTATGTGCCCGCAACCAAGGTACATGCCCTTTACCAGAATTGAACCTGGGACCCTTGAGTCCGCAGGCCAATGCTCTATCCACTGAGCCAAACTGGTCAGGGCTCAGGTGACATTTTTGAAGCGTGTTTGGAAATGCAGAGTTTGGAGAGTGGGGCAGACCAGGTGATCAATACTTGGCGTTCTTGGCTACTCAGTTGTGTGTTTCCTGTGTCCTTGTGTTTGGGGTGATGGAGGGGGGAGGGTCTGGAGGCTTCAAACAAACAGTGTTCCTCAACCTTCACCACAGAATCACCTGGGGGAGCTTTAAAGAATATTAATGCCGGGCCCACTCCCAGAAATTCTGATTTCCCTGGCCCCGGGAGGAGCAGGAGACACAGCCTGTTGATAAAGGGGCCGGTTTGCAGCAGGGCTGGCAACGTCTTTCCATGAGGCCAGGTGATTTTTTTAAATTTTATTTTTGGAAAATGATATGCAAGACTTTCTGAATCTGTGTTTTTGAAGAAATACATTTTTCTATTAATGTTCTTATGTTTGACGGGGAAAGTGGGTGAAGAACTTTGGTTCCAAGCTTTGCACTGTCTTCCAGAAAACACCTGCGCCTTAAAGAGAGTGTCAAGGGAGAGCTGAGCCACCAGAAAGAATTCTTCGTGCGTGTGTTTGTGTGCGTGTGTGTGTGTGTGTGTGTGTGTGTAGTGAGAGTGGGAAGTGTTTCTAATCTTTTTTCCCTTTATTGATTTTTTTTGTTGTTGAGGATATTTTTTTCCATTGATTTTTAGAGATAGTGGAAGGGAGGGGGAGAGACACAGAGAGAGAGAAACTTCAGTGTGAGAGAGACACACCAATTGGTTGCCTCCTGCAAGCCCCCTGACCAGGGTGGGGGATCGAGCCTGCAACCAAGGTACGTGCCCTTGACTGGAATCTAATCCGGGACCCCTCAGTCCGCAGGCTGATACTCTATCCACGGGTACTTTTTACTCTATACTCTATACTCCATCAAACCGGCTAGGGCTTTCTAGTCTTTCTGAAAGCAAGGAGTTCAATTCGATTTTATGAAGTGCCTGCTGTGAGCAAGCCACTATGCCAGCCGCTCTCTGACTATTGTTTCATTTCATTTTCTCTCCCGTGTGACGAAGTAGTTGGAGGAGGACACTGGCTGGGCCCGCTGCCCAGAGCCACAGGTAGCAGGGCTCGGATTCAAACCCACGGCAACCGATTTCACAGCCCGATCGGCTTGTCGCTGTTGACACTCTGCCCAGACCATCATTATTTGCTGTCCCCGGGAATTTAAGTGGAGTCTAAAGTGTTCCCCTTGCTCGCAGATGGTGTTCCCAGGAAACCCAGGAGGACGTGTCTGTGGTTGGAGAGGTGCCTCTTTGAAAGGCTCGCCTGAGCCACTCGAGAGTGGAGTAGCCTTGATAAATAACCTAACCGCAGTCACAGGGGCGGCCGATGACCAAGAACTCGGGGACGTGGGCCCTGGGCTAAGCCCTCCACCCCTAGTGCTTTATCCTCAACGCCTATAAAACGGAGGTGGCACTATTCCAGGTGACAGCGGATGACCCCGAGGTTTCAAGAGGACCCGGGAGGCTGCAGGCCGTGCTCGTCTTACTTATCAGTCCGTGGAGACAATCCCAAGAAGTCCACTTCTTGGAAAACAAGCCCACAAGTGAACTAGCTGCTCCTGACTGCACCTGGCCCAGCCACCAGGTAAACTGTTTTGCATAAGCTCCGCTCTTACGGCCGTTTTTCCCACTTGCCTCCTGGTTTACAGAATACAATGCCCTTTTGTGCAGTCTCCCCTTTCCTGCCGCAGCTCCAGTTTGGACCTGGAGATGACCTTTGTCCCACATGCCGCTGGCCACCCCGCATGGCAGGACATTCTGTAACTGCCGGGGATGCTGGGTTTCTCCCAGCCCCAGCCAGGGCCAGCCGACCCCCGGTGGGAATGGAGCTCTTTGGGGTTTGTTTTTCTTTCCCCAAGTCCCTGGGAATGGGAAACTGTTACCTTAAGTGGCATTTGCATGGAGAAGGTTTAACCCAAATCTCTCCCTCGCCCCCCCCTCCCGTAACTCCCCCCTCCCCAGAGAAGGCAGGTGATCTTTCGATAGCCATCCCCTGAGCCCATTCACCGGGCTTGATCCAGAAGCCACTTCTCAAATGTCCAACAGCCTGTGCACAGCCTGTCAGAGGAGGGCCCGCATGGCTTTGTATTGCTTACGACAGCTTGGACTTTAGAGCCCCGGTGGCTTAGGCGCCTACGAATTTTGAAGTCAAGCAAGTTGATTGAGAGGTGGAAACCGCCACGCTAACGCTCTGCCGCTCTGCCGAGGGATCCTGCCCCCCTGCGCCTGGGTTGTTACTGCTCTTCGGTGCCTTGAAGGTTAAGTGCACCCAGGATATTTTTAAACTGGCAAGGGCCGGTTAATCTAAAAGTGACATTTACAGTCACGGCAGGGAGCAGCGAGCCCAGCCGGCTTCGGCCCGGGCCCTCCGCAAACAACCCTGGAGAACGGGAGCCTGAGCACACAGTTGGGAGGACATGGGGAAAGAAAAGGCCGGGAGAGAAGGGGTAAGTGAGTGCGCCCCTCCCTGGGGTCAGGGACTTCACGCCAGCGACCAAGTGGCCGGGCCGTCAGTGCACAGGGACAGCGGCCCCTGCGCAGTGGTGCGCACGTGGGCTCTCCCGGGGCAGCAGCCCTGTTCTGTGTGCGGGAGGCTGAGCCGAAGGGCTCTGAATGTAACGGATGAAGGAGACGGGTCTTCCTTTGCGTCTATAAATGGTCACGTTGCTGGGAATCCGGTGCTTACTCGTTAGTTCCACGCGCCGGAATGCTTTAGGGTTTAGGTTTACCTACCAGCAGAAGGCTGTTCTGAGATTTATTCATTTATTTATTTTTGTCGCCCCAAACTTCGGTCGTAAGGATAGGGATTCTGTTTCTCCAACTTGTTTGTTTGTTTGTTTTTTTAAAAAAACAGGCTCTTACGAGTAAAGCATTGATAGTGTTTCTGCATTGCTGGAAAGACATGGTTTTCTTTCATTTTTAAAACTCGTAGTATAAAAAGTGAAAGACTGAAACAGTACAGAGGAAAACGGGGTGTCTCCTGGCACCGTCCTCCTCCTGAGGGAGCTGCTGTGTTAAAGCTTCCCAGACCTTGTTTCCCCGCAGGACTCTGATTCTTTGCATTCATCTGGAACGCAACTCTGTCTTTCACACTGATCATGATTATTTTAACATAAACGGGCTTCCCCACAGGTAGGGTGATCCAGCACCCAGACTTATCCGGGACTGAGGGGACTCCCCAGGAAGCGGGTCTTTCCATTTAAAAACTCTAAGGTCTAAATGTTGTTTGAGAAATGTTTTCCTTCTGCCGGGCCGGCATGGCTCAGTGCTTGAGTATTGACCTATGAACCAGGAGGTCACGGTTCAATTCCCGGTCAACGATTCTTTCTCATCATTGATGTTTCTATCTCTCTCTCCTTCGGCCTGCCTCTCTGAAATCAACAAAAATATTTTGAAAAGGAAAGAAAGAAAAGTTTTCCTTCTAACAGTGTCTTGCGAGGCCTTTACAAGATGTGATGTCTTTTCTGGCTTCTCCAATTTTTAAAGGGAAAGATCCAGCCAATTCTCAGGCAAGGTAGTGTGAGGGGCAGACAGGCCCTCTATTTGAAACGCTCAGGGGAAGGCATTTTGTGTTTATGCAAAGGCGTTTTTTTTTTGCTCCTGCCCAGATAGACTCCCTCCCAGTTTGATCACCTTTAGGTCTGAGGTAGGAACGTCTTCCATTACACAAGGCACTCCATCTTTATGGCAAAATAAACATTGTCACCTGAGATGAAACTTCTCAGACAATCTTATATCCCTGTCGAAACGCTGGGGTTCCTTGTTCTCATGCTTCTTCTGAATTTTCACTTGGGGATCCCGACCTTCGGAGGAGAGTGCACCTATGCCTAGAGAACCGCGGAAGCACGGCCAGAAACCTCGCATCTTATCTGCAGGCTTCATGCGCATGTCAGATGCCATTCTAATAGAGCCCTGTGTGATACCAGGGAACTAACTCATCCCCATGGCACAAAGGGCCCTGCCCCTTTGTCCTGGGGATTCAGAACTCCTTGTACTGGGCAGGCCAGGCGGGTACAGCAGGAAACCTGAGGTCTCGAGTATTGAGAAGTTGGCACATGCCAGGCGTTTACACACTAGGACGGTCCTGGGGGGTGAGGGGTGGGTATTACTTACTCTACTCCCCAGACCAGGAAATCAAAGTGCAGAGAATTTCCGTGACAGGCCCAGGCCCATCAGGTGACAAACAGCAGAGTCTCCACCCACCCGGATTAGCCTCACGCCAGAAGTGCTGCTCTTGACCTCTCTGGGCACAGCGCCCCTGAGCTCCCTTACCTGTGCTGGGTCCCAGACATAGCCACACTCCGGATACCGGGGTTTTGTGCTACTCTGATTGGACTCACTGAACCACCCCCCCCTTTTCCAATCAGATTAAATCATGGTTAGGAGTGACATTAAAGGACAACCCCCAACACGCTCTTCTTTCTATTTGGAAATGGGTCATGAGCCCTAGCTGGTTTGGCTCAGTGGATAGAGCGTCGGCCCTTGGACTGAAGGGTCCAGGTTCGCTTCCGGTCAAGGGCACGTACCTCGGTCGCAGGCTCAATCCCTGGCCCCGGTTGGGGCGTGTGCGGGAGGCAACCAGTTGATGTGTTTCTCTCTCTGTGTCTCTCCCCCTCCCTCCCACTCTCTCTAAAAAGTCAATGGAAAAATACCCTCCGGTGAGGATTAACAAAAATAAAAATAAAAATAAGTGGGTCGCAGGCTCCAGGAGTCACCAGAACAATGTGTTGTTGGAAATGCCCCCTTAGCGGGCTCTCCCCGCTCTGTTCGAAGGCTGTGGTCTCCTATAGCCACTCTCCCAACAAAGTGGATCTGAGGGGCCCTCCTGTTTGGCATGATGACCCGTGCAAGGCGGGGAAGGGGCTGGGGGACACGCAGTTTGGGAAACATGGGGCTGCCTGTGCCGATCCCTGCTCCATCTGCTCCCACCATTTCCTCCACCTTCCTGCCCTGCCCGGCTCCTGGCTGCATCACGCTCCCGCCCCCCCCACAGAAGCCTCCTGCTGTGAGATCACCTCCCTGACCTCACAGACCAAGGCTGGGCCCCGGTCCCATGCATGGCCCAGACTTCTCCTTTTTATTTTTTGTTGATTTCAGAGAGGGGGAGAGAGACAGAAACATCCACGACGAGAGAGAATCATTGATTGGCCGCCTCCTACACGCCCCACACTGGGGATGGAGCTTGCAACCCGGGCTTTGCCCTGACCGGGAATCGAACCATGACCTCCTGGTTCATAGGTTGATGCTCAGCCACTGAGCCACGCCAGCTGGGCAGGCTTCTCCTTTCTGACGGTTCTCCCCGCCGTGCCCTCACGTGCCTCTGTGATCTTACGCGGTGAGATTAAACCCACACGGGCAGGGCCGCTGTCCGCTCCGTGTCTCCAGCAGCCGGCGCCACGCCTGGCAGGTGCTTGGGAATGACCAAGCGCTGAATGAGTGAATGGTTGGAGGCAGGGTCCGGCACAGAAGGAATAGAAGGGGAGGAGGATGGAATTCCATCTGCGAAGGGGGCGGGGCCCAGGACCTGAGGCGCGTGGGACAGTCCACATGGGCAGTTTCTGCAGGGACCACTCTCATGAGATGTTAGAGGAATAGGTGAGCCCGATTAGCCTTAGAGACAGACCCACTCCTCTTACATTTCTCTAAAGCAGGGCTGGGCCGGAACCATTTGGGCCAGTTTTGCCTGGGCTGGCCAGTCAACCTCCATCAAAAGTTCAGTTTGGGACCTGTCCTGGTTGCTCAAGAGCAGCGGTCACCAACCTTTCAGACCTCACGGACCATCAGTGGGCCGTGGACCACCGGTTGGTGACTGCTGGCTTAGAGTGTTGTCCTGATACACCAAGGTTGTGGGTTGGGTCCCTGGTCAGGTCAGGGCACGTACAAGAATCAAACAACGAATGCATACATAATAGAACAACAAATCGATGTTTCTCTCTCTCTCTTCCTTTCTCTCTAAAATCAGTTTTTAAAAAACATGTGATTTGGCTCTTCAGGCATTAATTGAGCACCTACAGTGTGCCAGGCTCACCTTTCTAGGCCAACACTCCTGGAGAACCGTGGGCCTTGGTCATCTGAGCCTTTTCCCGAAATTCACAGACTTCTCTTCATTGTGTTTTCCCCCCCAAAGTTGTTGTCACATCGGTGGCCCCTGCAGCTGCACACCTGCTGGGCTCCAAGGGCAAGTGGATTTGGATTTGGCACAAAAGCTCAGGATTGTTTGCTTATGCAAATAGCATTTGCCGGGATTCTCCGGAGACCCAGATGCTCGGACATGTGCTAAGTTTGAGAACTGCTGCCTCTCCCTGGGTCTTATTTCTGGGTTTCTGATTCCACCCAGTTAAGAGGATAGCCAGTTAATCCATGGGATCAACAGCCCACTCACGTCCACCTATTACAAATCCTGGCTCTGGAGTCAAGCAGAACGGGTTTGGCTTTCATGTCCCTCCGGGCTGTGTGACTTGGAGCAGGTCACTCCCCCTCTCTGGGCCTTGGGTTTTCTGATGCCTGATTTGTGAACTAGGATAGCAATAATAACGTGAAAGAGAGGAGACTAATACCTCCCTCGTAGGGCTGCTGTGAGGGGTC